TTTGGTGAGTTGTTAACATTCTGTAAGCTATGTATTTCGTTAATGGGGCATCACGTCAGGGTCATAATGATATTTTACTGATGTCTTTTATTTATTTCATATTTTATTAATGGCTTATTAGCGACTTTTCACTGTTATCGCCTGCATTCTCATATTCAATTGTTAGGTTGAATCTTAGTGCGATATTAAAATTATTTTGTTCGGATTTTTATAAATTCTCGTCTACCACTCTCCTACAACCTCTTTTTCTTGTTCGCATCTGAAAAATCAATCTCGCTCATTATCTTAATCAGGGTAGATCTGTTATGCATACTGTTAATTTTCCAATTTGTTTCGATGAGTAAAATCTACTAGCATTTTATTTGTTATGTGATGATTAATTGTGTGTGTACATATTTTACAAGGTTAGGGATGACGATAAGGTTACTACTTGAAATAAGGTTATTACCTGAAAAGGCTGCTGCATAAGTCGCTGTAGAGCGATTTGATTTTACGCATTGAAGCGTTAAATTGAATCACTGTAAGAACTCCTTGGTTGTCTCCATTTGCTAGTTAAAATTTCAAATAAGATTACTAAGTTACTTAGCATATTATGGCATGTGTTAAGGTATTGATGTTGATTAATTGGTTCTTTATTCTGATGTATAAGCTTGAGTGCTGTTTGTAACTTGTAGCGAGGTCAATGTTAGGTACAGGAGCAGCGTTCACCGTACATTGTTTTAGCTACACGGACCTCCCTTCTCCGAGCTAAGGCTGCACGTTTTATTCTGGTTGAACTATGAGAAGTTGTTCGCCGCCATTCAATTGGAATGCTAACCTAGCGTCATTAGTTTAATTCATTTATTTCCGTTGATCTGAAGCGTATGATTTAAATCCCCAATTTTGTTTCTTTTATCTTACTTAATAAATTTACTGAGGCTCGACGTAAACGCGTCCTGAAAATTATTGATTTCTATATTGTCAGCAGAGAGTTACTCGATCCAGTGCCCGTCGTCAAGTGGGAAATATAACATCTGGCTTTGTCAGTAACATTGAGCTACAAGACATGGATATCGATGCTTCATTAACGGATTCGACAGCTTTTTCCGATGGAGATACAACGGAAAATTTAGACGATACAGAGTTTGAGAAGGAATGTGCTTGTTGTCATCGGTGTGTCACAGAAAATTACGTACAAGACTTGACGGAAGCTGATGTCATCATTAGGAGAGCTTATGGCGACCGGAATTTGCCAAATGTTGCACTTCTTTGCCCTGAATGCAGAATGTATGTAGGGACACGCGATAGAAATGCAAACTGGACTTTTGCCTGGCCTGCCGTAATTTATACTTTTCTCACCAGTCAGTCGTTGTCATTTGACGCAAAGAAGCTGATCGAAATATTGCCCCAAACCATCAAGGATAGTTATAGGCAAGTAGTCCCAAGGTTAAGTGCAGCTATTTCAGCGGTTTGGACACTTCCTTCAAAATCTATTGATGCCACACAAAAAATAATGGAATTCAAAACCGATCTTTTTAAGAATGCCGGTACATTGGCGTCCAAGTTGAATAGTTCCTGTTTTCCATCCGTCAAGTGTCCAATGGGTTGCAACGCCTACCTAGACTCAGATGTTGGCAAAGATATCGAGTATTTGCCGCTTTCACATTATTTTTCTTTCATTTGTCCTGAATTTAATGCATTTAAAGCCGACTCAAATTACTTTCGCGGTGCTCGTCCAGACTGGCCTAGTCGAGGCGAATATGAGGGTTTTGAGTATGCTGCCACGTTAATCGTCGACGCTGAGAAAGGACTTGTTGTGGTGACATGTTCTAAAACTATCCACGCCGACGGGAAGTCTCTCTTCATCCACGTACCTTGTAATCCGGTCCTGGGTAGCACTTCTGAGCTTCGTCCCGATCTCATCGCCCCTGTTTCAGCCAATCCTCACTTCGTCAGAGCCGGTCGTTCCAATGAATATAACAGCAGCCACGTGGTCTTCAGAGAGCACGGCGACTCAAGCGGCGCTTCTTCTTTCAGTCTTACTCCAAGGCCTTNGTCAGTTTCCAAAACTTGCTGACACACATCCACAGTATTTCTCCTGAGAACTCACTACCTTTATTGTATCCCGAAGGTCTTTTATTTCCGACCATATATACATACCTTGCCCGCATTGGTGCAGCAAATAGCTCTCTCTGCCCTGAGTTATGGATCACACCACCCATCACCTCTTCGGCTGCCCATTGCACCCTACTCGTGTTAACCCCACTGGACCTCGGCGGCATTCCTAACCTGGAGAGCAATATTCTTGGACCTGGCCACCGCTCCTTCCTTCCCCCCTGAGTTTTGGCCTTTGCGGGGACGCCGCCGAGCGACTCTTCCTGACAATTAACAACACGCGTGTAAGCAGTAAGTATATAAATTTATGATTATCATTCTCAATTAATTATTATTAATTTGGTTCCGTTCCCCAGGTTTCATTATTTCATGTTCTCTTTGAAGAAAAGGTTGTAATTGAATCCTACATATCGTAAACTAACAAAGTTGATTCAATCAAAATGTGGTGCAAAGAGTGTATTGATAACTACAATACACACCTTTTATCATTTTTGCCATTCAGTGCAATCTTATTTAGCTCCTTTGTATATAATTGAAGGTTATCACGTTGGATGTTAAATATTTTTTTATATAGTAGGGTGCCAAGCAAAATAATTTTTGCATTCTTGCTGGTTTCATGGTCCAAATTTGTTCAACTACATAGGCAGAGTGCATGAACCAAAAAATTTCAACAATCCAACTCCATCTACTGGTTGCACAATCAAAGTTGAATTTATGCAAATGAGGCTTAATTAATTACCTACATTAAGAGTTTCAAGGACATGCTTAGCAGTTAAGTCTACTAAATATTATTCAATGTACTACACCACTGAATTGCTATGGTACACTTCTGCCACTGACTTGCTACCAGTAATAAAGTACAGTTGTTGTCACTTGAAAGTTTATCAATAATAACAGATTTCTTGGACACAGGAAACTTCTGGCAGTGTCGTTTGACAACCTGAAGCAGGTACTGCTTTTGTTCCTCTTTGTTATATCAAAGAAATACCACATCCAGCAGCATTTTTGACAATTTTCAGCTTCTGCACTACTTGACAACTGATGCAGTAATGTTAGGAGCCAGGTGTCAGGCTCCTACTGTAAGAAGTCAGTTTCAATTTGCATTGCCTAAAAAAACTTGTGTGTGTTAGTTGAGACGAAGTTTGACATAGTCTACTCAGACACAGTTCTATCATTCAGAGATTCAACTCTAGGTGTATGGGGGTTTTCACTGTGTTTTGACAAGGCCTGAACCACTTTGCAGTTTTCAGTATCAGTAATTTCAGAATTGAAGTAAGCAAGTCTCACGAGAGTTTCACTTAAGTACTGGATGGAGCATGAATGTCTTCGTGGCTGCACTGGAAATTGACTTATTAACTGTTCCTTTAGCAGCAAGATCTTTGAGTAACTGCAAATCATTTTGTGAAGCAATTGCAGTAGACATGCCTGTGTACCATGCTATTTTTTCCATCCAGCAGGCTCTGCATCAAGCACCTGGAGCATTAATGTTATAACTTGTTCAATTTACATATCATGAAAACTTGAGTTGATAAGTTGATCAATAAAGATGAGGACCAAGGTTCTTTAAAGTTTCTTTCATCGCTCTAGGTTATGCCTTGGGTTTTTAGTAAATGGGTTATGGCTTGGGTTATGTCAAACTTTCCAGACAGTGGTCATACATAAATATTGGGAGTGCTTGGTCAATCGGGATAAATGGTCAAATTTTGATTGGGGGTAAATGATCAGGTTTTGAACAGGGGTAAATAGTCATCAAACTTCTAAGTCATTTATTCAAATTGTGATGATAGGCCCTTTTTACAACACTTCTATTCAACTTCTCTTCGTGTTTGTTTGTTTGTTTTTTTGTCTGTCTGCTACAAATCTTATAATCAATATTTAACACACTTCTACCTCTCCAATCAATCTGAAATTTATTACACTTGCGTATAGTTGAAGACAATGCATCAATCAATTGACAGAATAAATAATTTTAAATATTTAAAAAAATTTACTTCTGATATTAAATAATATACGCTTAAAAATTAATTTTTAAAGACAACGCTTCTAAAAAAATCCAGTGTCTCCAATGTATAACATTTACAATGAATTTCTAATTTTAATTTCGAATATTAAAAAAATTAATTTGTACTTATTTTAATACACAAAATAAATTAAAATTTCAAAAGTATTTATTCTGTCAATTGATTCATGCATTGTCTCTGACTTTACGAAAGTCTGCAAAATTTCAGAGAGATTGGACAGGTAAAAGTGTGTTAAATATTGATTATAAGATTTGTTGCAGACGAAATTATTTATTAAATTTTTTTAATATTGCAATTTTTTTTTTCATTTTTAAAATTATTTATTCTGTCAATTGATTCATGCATTGTCTCCAACTTTACGCAAGTGTGCAAAATTTCAGATCGATTGGAGAAGAAGAAGTGTGTTAAAATTGATTACAAGATTTGTAGCAGACAGACAAACAAACAGACAAGAAGTGAAGTTAAAGAGAAGTGTTGTAAAAAATGTAAAAAAATAATTTTGTCTGCCAGATATCTATTATTATCAGAGACACTGGCCTCTTCAGAAGTGTTATCTCTATAAAGGAATTTTTAAATGCATATTATTAAATTACTTCTATCAATTAATTATTTGCCCACTCAAATAATGAACAAGCAGGTAACAACATATATTGCTTACTGTTGTAGGTATATATATTTGGATATAGGCCAGAATCTTCCACAGGTGCCACCTATGGCTCTGTGGGTATGTAATTCAGAATCTAAATGTCCGCTCTGATTCTGGGCATGACATGCAATTCTAAGGCAGTTTCTAAGATCGGTATGATTTATATTATTATTATATATTATATTATAATTGCTAATTTATATTGTTGGAACAAACAGACCTAGAATAACTCTAAGCCAAGTGCAGCAACTCGTGCGCAGTTGGTTAGGTGTTACTAAAATTTTGTTAGGGTAGGGATAAAAAATTGAAATGTTTCTTTGTTTACAGAATTTGAGCCAATTTTGGTACCGCCAAGACACGGCAGAGTGTCTCGCTACCGAGTGTCAACGACTAGCTTCTTCTTGTGAGGAAGGTTGTGGCAGTATTGCTTGTATCTCCTCGCCGACAGTCTACAGAACTCTCAGAAAATTAAATCCTAAGATCAAAAGTAAGTATTACTATCTGACAAATTTTATTTATAGCTACAAATCTGTGTTCATTATCTGTATGGATATGTTCGAGTAACAGTTGGATTTTAGCAACAAATTTATCTTGACAGTAATGTGTTCAACACGTATCCCTTTCGTGGGCAAGCATAGGATTGTGCTGACAGAGAAATTTCTTAAACCAGGACAAGAAATTATGAACAATTAGAAGATATATTTACTCGTATGTGTTTTTCACAATTCGCCATGTTGAAGGAGTAAAACACAGTTAAAAATTTATGAAGTGCAGTCAACAGCTAAAAATTTTTTTAAAATTCAAATTTAAGCAAAAACTTTGAAAGGTAACTAAACAAATTTAATTTCATCACGTTACCTTGAATAATTGATATTACTACTTCCGGTCTTATTTAAAAAATGCAAAAAAGCGTAAATTTCGTTGCTTGAGACTGAACTTTCTTTCAAATGCTCATATTTTAATTTATGTTCATATTAGTGAGTGATTTTATGCTCAGAACGTTGGGCAGATAATTGGCAATGAGCAGTGTTATTATGACGTAGCTTCACACATAAACCATGGGCCGTGGTGTGTCTCTTACTAAGGAGATTTCAAGTGACCATATTTGATAACTTGCCCGGCAAAAGGTTAGGAATTTTTTACTCTATGGAGCTACCCCCCACACCACTCTCATGTCAGCAATTTTATTTATATATTCATCTACTATTATCATTTTTTGAGAACCTGATTGTATCCTCAATTTAGATTATAAGTATTCGCACAAAGTTGCTAATTAAGCAATGTGGAATAATGAATTTATCTTTACATTTCTGCGAGATCGAAAACAAAGACTCAAGTTAATTAGGCAAATTTGCGTCACCAACCCGAGAAAAAAATTTGTATTCCAATCCTTCATATTTTGAGTATCGTGGTCGTAAATGCATAAGTCTTCCCTATAGCATGCCTATCAAATTGCTTTTAAGAGTTGTTGAATTCGTGATAGGAAATTAGTCTTACGTTTCATTGTGTTCTCAGTTGCACTGAAGTATTTCCTACATTTGAACACTAATAATTCCAACTCTAAATTAGGAGGCGTTCTCTCTATTTCATGAACTTGATCAACTTCAAAGCCATTTTCATTATTTAAACTTCCTTTCGCTTATAAAATTGGAAACCTTTGGACATTAGCTCGTTACTGATTGCCGCGAAATGCATTTACTTTAGTGAAGATCAGGTAACGTACTTTGATGGAGTCAGGTTATTGAGGACTCGTTAATTAACCAATTGATTTCTTCAGTGAGTGTGTTCGAGTTCGACTCGCGTTTTGCCGTTTACGGTGAGGACTTTGTGCTGTACGACTACCGAAGCCCTTTGAGCGTGCCTTCCCATCTACGGGAGAGCTTCGACGTGATTATCGCAGACCCCCCTTACCTGGCGGAGGACTGCCTCACTAAGGTTGCCCTCACCATCAAAATGCTCAGCAAACCTGATGCTAAGATTATTCTCTGCACGGGTAAGGTTATGACAGAGTTAGCCGCCAGGCTTATGGGTCTGGAACTGCAGAAATTCGAGATCAGGCATGACAAGGAACGACTCAGCAACCCTTTTGGATGTTTTTCAAACTACGATCTTGACGAATATTGCAAGTATACATGTTGAACGAGAATGGTTTTTCATTGCTCTCCGATATGAAAAAAATCAGGGAATATATTGAACCTAAATTGGAGTGAATTGTGCGTACCAATAACCATGGTGTTTGAAATAAAGTCGTACGAATACATTTATTGAATAAATTATCTCATATACAACCATATAAAAACTGTTGAATACTGGATGGAGTTTTTTCAGGCAAGGAATAAGAGGGAGTGGGACCAAATTGGTGGTCAATGGATGGCAAGGTTGGTATTTGCTTTTGAGGCGGAAATTGCTGCATTCTATCGCATCAAATCGAGGATTTTGAAACAATTTCTTCGCATCGCATGGTTTATGTTGGCCGTCACGTAGTTACAACTGAGGTAGGCGTGACATGTCTACACGAGTTCACAGAATTAAATAGCATAATATAAGGCGTCCAATACGATTAAGTAATAAGAGATTCTATTTTTTTCATTTGCGGAGTGGTTATGAAAATTGGATTCTAAGACCATGCAGTGTCTGTCCAATTTCCTAAGTACTAATGTAGTGTTGCAATTACAAAGAACAATTATTTAAAAATTAGCATAAATCATGTAAGATCTCAAGTTATTTTCATGGGAGTGTGAATTCAAAAGGAGATTTTTTTTTTAGCTAGAGCTTTACCGCTATTTATCAACTTTTTTTGTACAAAGTGTTTTTACAAAAATTCTTCCCGATATATTCTAAAAGACCCAGTCATATTTTACTTACTTACTAGCAGATTACCAATTCTTATTATATTTCAATCTTTAGCCTTAAACGTGGCTTCTTAATCTTTAAAATTAATCTTCTATCAGAATTCGGTCAAAAAAATGTCTAATATCCAAGTCCATCACGAAGAAGTTAACTAACCTATAAAAGATCATGTCTATTCTATTTCACTCAATTGCATAACCATTATAAGAACTTTTTCATCCCCTTTCCTTCCTACAACCATTCAAATAGTTGCGCTTCACCGCTCTATAATCAATCTGTTTGAAAACTTTTTCGAGTCAAACTACAAGTTATGATGCTAAATTTTAAGATGTCTGACATTTGCCCCTTTGAATTCTGCACTTAACTTGAACCTCTACAGAAAGTAACAAACAGAAGGCTTCTAATTCGACCTTGTAATGCTGACGTATTCAGCTCAATAGATCCGTTGTAATGATCAACGTACTATGATGAGCACAATGATTAAACCTGATCTCCGCTCGATGGTAAGTCGCACACATTTTTCGCCTGTAAAAAATAAACTATGTATCCAATTTTTCTACCCCGATTGTCAAAACAAGATAGCAACGGGTCACACTTCTACGAGCGATTGCCACGTACACGACAGGTTAAGATTGATTTTTGACCTAAAGATCATCCGAATCGTGTACAAAATAAAACATAACGAAAAATATTGCTCTCCTAGTGCGGGTCTACAGAATACACGTTAAACATCATTTTGTGTCCACAAAATATCTACTTACACCAACATCGACAAAGATGTAACATCAAGCGACTTTCACTTGCTTGTAATTGCGTGCGCCGGGAAAGTTGCATAATGTGGTTTATTAACGAAGGAAACCTCGAGTACGAGAAAAATATAATTATGGCACTGACTAGAAGAGACACGGATGTACCACAGTCTACATCATACAACAGTTATTTACAATTATTTACACAGTTTCATGCGCCCGGCAAAGCCTAACAGTCGAGTTCGGCCACAACATGAGAACCAAGTGTTTAAAAATAAATGGTGCTTATGGCAGTCAATCAAGTCATGGATAGCAAACTGCAATACTGCCCTGAGAATATATATTATTTGCGTAAATAAAAAAAAGTGTAAACTTTGATGTGTAACGCATACATCTCAATAGTTCCACAGCACCTCTTCGATTTGGGAACGCAGATTATTTTAGCACCACGTTGTTCCATTGAAGAGATAAACAATGCACAGCATTGACTGTACGCTTCGAGACAAGTCATTTGCATTGGAACGAAAACTTATGCAAGTAACTGGCAGTGGCTAAAATTATAATACCTAGAAATGAACATAAAATACATACACACTCGCAGAACATGTTGGCCTGCCAACGCATTCAACGAAAGCCTCACTTGCTCCACATTCGACAGTCGTACTCTTCAAAACAGAAGACGATGTATGCAGCCACGTGTGATCAGGTCAATTGTCGATTTAAATGATATTGGGTACCTCCGAATTAATGAAATCTTCAAATTTAATTCAACTACTTAGCGAAGTTCATCTATACAGCATTCGTGCTGGCAGTCGATTTCTTGCAAACCTCAAACACTCTTCTAAAGGATATGACTCGGGAAGGCAGTGAAGGGATCATCAGAAGGGAAGGGAGACTGTCTCCCCTAGAGGTAACGACTTACTTCCTTAATGCCGGGACTAACTTACAACAAACGCTCTACGAGACAATGAGATAATGTCGTTTATGAGAAAGTTAAGTCCGAATTTGATAAAAGCACACGTGATGTCGCTTATTTTAACTCGATGGCAAACAAGCACTGGCGACTGGATACAAATTTCTAACGACACGTTCTACTTCTCTTGATTGGCCAGCACCGTAATATTGTGAATTTATTGAAACTTTTAGTTTGCATTTTAGGTGCACCTAACTAAATTTAAAACTTTATACTTAAAAATAAATGCTGAAGCCTAAATGCTGAATACTGGTGCAATTAGAGAACATGGAATGATAGTCTTTCAGCTCAAGAGACTTGTTACAGGCTGTTACATCTATGTAAAATGCTTATAAATGAAAAGGATACCATAACTATTCAAGTAAGGCCTAGTCTGTTACCCCAGTCGGTGGATGGCGCTGAGATTCGAGCTCCGTGGCGTGGTGGGTCCATCGCTATTTACAAGGTTGCGCACGATAGCTTAACTCTAGGATGTATGGCTTTCAAGTTTTATTAAAATTATTAAAGCTAAAAGATTTTATGTAACAACAGTAAATTCCACTCATGAATAAGAACTCATTCTTTTCGAAGTTTCCTGCACGCGCCAAATATCATTGATAGGTTTTGGCAAAGGTTACGGACTTAATTAAACCACTGGATTAATCTATCACCGACTAGCAGTCGGTGTTAATGAACGTTGGAAAAAAAATTTGATTAAAAATTAGAACTTCCTGTATGAATCGCTACTAAGAGTGAACACTACTTGAAGCTCTTGTTCATCGCCATCAGCCTTCATTTCAGCGGGGCGGGCACTCGAGTATTGAGAAGGACTTGCTGCTGGCGCTCCTGCAAATGAAGCCAAGTTGCTACTCGGTGAGCAGTGTTGAGGGCACTTTATCCCTCCCTTGAGAGAAATTTATCACTCGTTTGTTTGATTAGACACAGAGTATGCGTGGTCTCAAACGCTGGCCATTCATTGGCAACGAAGAAATCTTTCTTCACCCTTGACCATCGTAAAGAATGCTGGCATGACAAATTAGGTCTTCCTCGGAGGACGTTCAATAACTTTCAGCCTATGGTGGTGAGATGCCGTTTGGGCGCAAGAGCTGAGAAGCCCACACAAAATTAATACACATTCCCTTCGATCTTATCGAATGGGAGCAAAACTGGCGCAACACATGGAAAGAAAATTATAATCCATACTATCGAGTGCTCCCGAATCACACGTTACACAATAGTTCTTTCTCTTTCAACAGTTTTTCCAAGAATATTTAATCAATCACTGACAGAAACGACACATTTCGTAGAGAGCACAAAGATGCTCCTGAGGTAGAATGTCAGCATTTGCAACATCCAGAGAGATCGGATCAGTCCATCATTACAAGAACAAACAAATTAAGCATCCCTACTAACATCAATAACAGAGTCTATCATCTTGGCAGATGCAAACACAAGACACTAAAAGTATCGTTTCAAATTTTATCACAAATAAGAATAATTATACATCTTTCGTGCTTCCAAACCGATTTGAAAAATTTACTCGTTTTATTTATCGAATTTCGTTCCACTTGAACGATATACTCTTGTAGCCCAGTTAATGGTTTCAACATTGCAGTCATTTAACATGCAAACCCCAAATATTCGTCTGAGAATAATATTAATCCTAAAATATTAATTTGTATATGCATACTTTACGTTAAATATTTATAAATTGGATTAGAACATAAAAATATAACATTTTATGTTCAATAAATTATGGTGTGCTATAAGAGCATACGTACGTTTGAGTAAAATTGGTCCGTATAGCTTGCTAAAATCTGACTCATCAAGCTAATTCTTGCGCTCAATTAGTTTAAAATAAAATTTTAATATTATTTCCACCAAATTGTTTACATTTGTGGACTTTACTAAGCTGTACATCGAATAGAAACAATCTTATGCTAACACAGATGAAGAGTTAAACGAACGTCATAGTTTAACGAACCTTCCTGTAACCTCGAGCATTGAACTCGTTGATATTTATATAATATTTTGAGATGTGGAATTCCAATTTCTCGATATTCTTATCTCGAGAGAAATTTTTCTACGTTTCCGTGGGTCGTGTTTAGCCATTTATATTGTCTGGTGATCGGAGGTGCCTCAGGGTGTGGGTATGCGGATATCTAACTTGAGGCCAACTTTTGGATCTGGAGCACAGGTACCGCAGTAGCCTCCGCATCGACCTAAAATACGTTGACTGTCCTGAACGATAAAAGAACATAATCAATATAAAACATGTTTCTAATTCGAATCGCGAAACATCACCTGCCAAAATACACACGACGCACATCAGAAATTCTCACAGAATTGAGAGACCGAAAAAAATCAAACTAAGAGAATAAAATGATTCTCAGTCAGTCAGACACACGCAATCACAACATAAAATTTCAACTTACATCTAATCTGTTGATCCAGTGTGCTGCTTTGTTGCCGTATCCGACCCATGTTGTTCTGTCGGAAACTTTAAAAGAAGTTCCCACTAAATTGATAGAGAATGCGCCCTGAGGACACTGAGCCATGCTGTAGCAGTCACCCGCCTCGCCGTAAGCAACTTGACGTCCGTCAACGGCATAAGCGAACGTAAAGTCGTACACTATAAAGAAAATGTAGAGAAAAGGTTAATTGACTCTAAGCAACAATAAAAACAATAAGAAATCACGCGCATTTTAACCACCAAATTTTAGGTAGAAGAGTATCGCTAATACATATGTTCGCATTAAAATCAGATGGAGATTGACACATTTATCCAGATTATACTATTTTAAAGGATATAATAGTCAGACTGTCTGAGCGAATATTATAAAATGAACCAATGATACTGATTGAAATTTAATCGCTTTGTAGATTTGACGCGATGAAACCAGAAAAAAGTTCCTTTCAAACTCGTCATGTTAAATAGTTTTATGAATGTAAAGCTATCCAGCAGCAGCTCCTCCAGCATCTATCTCAGTCAATAGTCAGTTATGGAAAGATCGGGTTCCAAAGGCCGGATCCCTTGTGAATCAAGTCGCGTAAAGTACAAGAATCGGCAACAGGCCAAGGGCCTATTTCTACAGTGCCGCCTCTTTTATTCTATGCTATTCAACTTGTTTCTTGAAAGGCCAGCAAGTACTTACTATTGACAGATAGTGTGGTGACGTTGAGTCTTATCCTACTGAAGGTTGTTAGTCCAGCTCGCCCACTTTCGTCGTGCACACACGCACAGTCACGATGTCGATCGCCGTTGTATGGGCAAGTGTCGGGTCGTATCAACCTGTAGGTAGTTCTTCCATGAATATTTTTCCAGTAAGAAAATTAACTTTTCAAAGTAATGATTATGATAGAAAATATTTGAAATTTCGAAAATATAACAAATCTCAGAAGACTAATGATGTAGTGTTAGCAATGAAAAATCATATTTTATTGCACTCTGTGGACAAAGTAAGATATTAAAGATTATCAAATATATCAAAGTTCATTATTTGATAATGATGCCAAAATTTTAAGTTGATGTGCAGATATGAAATCAAGATACGCGTCACGATTAGCGTACCTTTTGGAATAAATTTCAGCATAGTTGCCTTCTTCTCCGGCAGGTAGCGTAAGATATTCTCGAGGTTCTGATACATTCATACCAAAACAATATATCGAGACGTTAACGCCACCGACAAGTAGTGCAAACTCGCCGTCCAAATTCAGGCGAAGAATGTCTCGTGCCTAGCAATGAAGGTCATATTAATTCATAGTTCATAATGACAAACGATAATAAATTTGCAAGAAACATTATTTTAACAACGAATCAATATTTTTAAGGGTTAAAAATTAGGAAATTCAGTCGTTCAAGGAAAAAAACTCTGCCGCTGCCTCATCGTCAAAATAACCAAAGGCTTACTAAAACAACTAGGGGTAACTCCAACAGTCATTACCCCATTGGAATCATCCATACCTCTTTGCACGAAGTTAGGCCACAAGGAGGAGCCTGACAACGCTGCTTACGACGAGGTCGTGCTTCTCGGGAACAGCGCGCCGCTCGCACGCGGTTGCCGCGAGCATCAAGACACATTACGCGACGCCGCTGCCGCCCCTTTTCTCCGCACACGGCTTGGCACTGACAATTGTTGCACAGTTCAGACGAACTCGATTATATCATATATATAGTTCACACAGAGAAACAATGACATGCGTAATATCTAGTTATGACATCGGAACACTGAAAATCACAATATTCAGCAACACGTTATTCATCCACGTCTTTAACATAATCTTCGTATCAAGGTCAACTGTTGTAAGTCTATTTTCTTGAGAGTATACTTACTGCTTTCCATGGCTTGACCACCCAGAAGTAGCCTCTGGAGCACTCGCCCATGTTGCATGGTTTGGTTACAAGGGGTCGGCGTCTAGGCTTACACCCAGAGGGCGCGGGCTCAGGATCTACCCAGTTTAGGGGGCTCACTGCATGGCAGGTCACCGACCGCTCCTGACGCCCCGGTCCACATCTCGCTGAGCACTGCAGCGTCGCAGGTGAAGGGAGTGCGTAGAGTTTGAACAGTATTAGATGGAGAGGTTGTGTTCCCCAGGTGGAACAAGGAACAACGTATAAAATGAATAAGCAAACTGTTGTGGAACACAATTATCATCAAGGATATTTTCACCAAATACTGATTCATCACTTTTTCACCAAATACACCAAAAAAATTATTGTTCACGTGTGTGGCAATATACTTCAATCAATGAAAACACTCCATGTTCATGGGAAAATTCAAAACAGGTTAGCAATCACAGAGCAGTTGGGCATGCAAACCCAGTAAAGCGCAAAACATGCCTGAAACAAAGCAGAAACCTCACACAAAATGCTCTCGATTTTATTGAACAAGAAAGCCAATCGCATAAGCATGAGTTCTGATGCACAAGGCCTCTGTTTCTTCGTGGGTTACCAAGCATTCCATTTAAAGTCATTCAAACTAATGTCATTAGGCGAAAGAAATTTAAGGATGTAGCTTTAGTCTCAAATTTCAAGAAACCTTACTCATTATTTGTATGAAATAAATTGAGTGGTGCATGATAAATACTTGGCTACAGACGTATAACTGAAAAAAAACGATAACATAGATGGATCGACGCAACAATCGTGTATTATGCATGCACCGATTCACCAAACATTCATATTGTATAAATCAACATTCAAATCCTTTACGGACCCACAACATTACTGCTAACTTGAATCTTCATGACGAGATAACAGTGAGATGCACAGCCAAGTTGAGAAGAAGACAAATGCTGATGAATTTTAGATAGTATCAAAAACATACAGGAATTGATTGTATCTTGGACAAACAACTTCGTCACAAAAGAAGACACGATGATGCAACATTTACATTGCATACACTCAAAGCTAAACGACTGAGCTAAGCAAATCCTAAGAGCGACTGACATCTAGAACTCCTTAACATTGGCACAGAACATCCATAGAACATCCTCCTTAACATTGGCCCTCACATAAGTTGTTTTAGTACCTCAGACCATGCGCCACTAAGCCACCTGTAGGGACAGGGGTTCTTGTTACAGTGCCGGCTCTCTCTGGGCTTGATGAGCCCACTCCGTATACAATACTCTTGGTTGACGGGCGTCCCGGCGGTTGAGCCGCGTACAGGAGCAAGCATATCGACACATGTCACGTTGCGGAGCGTCTCGCCTTGATCGCACGACTCCGAACACTGAAAACACAACAATGAAGCGCCATCCTTGGTCACGAGAAATAATTACTACTCACCCTTTTGTAGCGCCTGAACAAATTGAAGAGAAAACATCCGTGAAGGTTACTAAATCGATTCAAAATTAAAGAAAGCAATTCAAGAATTCGATTTTTCTCGTTAAAAACAGATCAGTTTGAACATACAAATTAGCAATGTTACAAATGTTTATAAAATCAGGGGCATGGCAGATATTCGGCTTTAAAATTTATTTCAAATAAATTTTCATAAAACGTACACCTAAATTTATATGACATGCTGAGGTTATGGGCGTCAGTAACTAATTCATGAAGGAAACTACGGAACACAGATACAGATCAATCACACCTCGAAGGGAGAAAAATAACAAGAGAGACTTGAAGAATAAGAAAATCATTTATATGAGAGGCATATCAGTTTGTACGAAAACAATGATTCACATTGAATGGCCCAACTCAAATGTTCCAGAAATTCACATACGACGTATAACCTACATAATTCAAGTAAACCTGCCACCAAGTTCGCTCTTAATTTAGAAGAGACCGTTCGATAATTCGTTCATTTTTAACAATTCTGTTAATTGTAGTGCGATTGTGTTTTAAATCACACTTTATACATGTATAGCCCTTGAGGGAGATTACAAATACTTTTTGAAATTCAACTGAAAGACTAAGAACTGATTTTGTTGGTGAAAAAATTGTAAGCAAACATTCTCAGGGAACAGACGAAATCAGTAAATAGCAGTAAAGTATAGATTAAAATCAGTAAATATCAGTTAGGAACCTATTAGAATCAATAAATAGCAGTTAGGAACAGATGAAAGTCAGTAAATATCATTTAGGAACATTTCGAAATTCAGTAAATAGCATTTAGAAAAAGACCAAATCAGTAGAAAGCAGACATAAATTCAGCTTCAGTAAAGAACTGATTGAAGTCCCAATGAATTAACCGAAAAATGGTGTCCAAGCAAATGTGTCTCACATCCATGTTTATGCCGAGTGCTTTTATTTCCAGAAAATGCGTATGCCAAGAAAGAATATCAAGGAGTAATGAATTAATGGATATGGGTATGTTAAAATAAGCCAGACGGTCACCCAATGAACTTCTCTTCATAGGGTCGGGGCAATAAGGTTACGAGCAACGACTTAACTTTTCATAAGGGAACAGGGTTGGACTCACCATTGACTGTTCATATTCTCAACAGGGATAGTGCTCTCAATGCGGGGCGAAAACAGAATTAATTAAAATATAACAAGATCGGTACTGAGGTGGGAGTTGAAATATCAATAATACAGCTGTACTTGATAAAAAAACATTTATTTAATAAGGGGAAATAACAGAGTTATCACTCGGGTAAATTATCACAGAATTTTTAGGTTATTAATAAGTATCAATTTCGATAGGAGGAGTAAGTTAAACTGTTCGGGAGGATAGACGAGGGACGGAACGAAGAACTCGGGTTCTGGGGAGACAGAGTGACGGGCCAGGAGGGGGCGGGGACGACGACATTAGGGGACTTTGATGACGCTTGGTGGTGGTGGTTACTTTGGGGAAGATGATGATGGCGAACTTTGTGAGTAGCCCCATCACGCAGGAAACCCAAAAGTTCATCCTTTATTGAATTTGAAATCTGATAATGATGACCATGGCGGAGAGGAAGCAAAGGGAAGCCTTTACTCGGTGGGATGGCTGGGAAAAGATTTAGCTTGTGGACATCTTGTGAGCCTAACGTCGATTGAGAACCATGAGTCTCAGGAGATGGAGTAAAAGGAACTGAAAGTTTATTAATGAAAGGTGGAAGTGTAAGAGCATCAAGGTCTACCATTCTTGAAGCTATAAGATGATCATTTACATAGGTTGCAATTTTTTTACGTTCGTGTAGGGTTCTCCACTGAAATTCTTTATTGTAAGGCAACGAATGCAGTTTCGTCAGTGAAAGACTGTGATTAAAATGTTTACTTGCAGCATTATTGGAGAAGACAGAAGTTAGAGAGCCATTAGGCAGTTTAGCAAAACCTTTACTCAAGTTTTTATGAACATTCACACGGGAGAAGTTTCTAGGTTGATCAGGATTAAGATTTGATGATCCACCCGGACGTCTTTTTCTGTTCCGTCGTGGATACTTTACCGCGGACCAGGGTCCTCGGCGCCACTTGTAGCGGTAGTGGTGACGTCTTGGTGACGAACAAGGGACTCGGCACGAGGACATATTCTGAGGCTTGTCGCCAGGAAGACAGTCTGAAGGCGACAAGTCCTGACCCGTAAGTCGGTTTCGACACTTCACCAAGCGGCGTCTGCGTCCACGACCGCATGGTCGCGAGCGAAGTAACCGGCACTGCGAATACGTCGATTTACAATACAAACTTTGAAAATAAGATGCTGTATCTAACATCATGCGTTGCAAGCTTCATGCAGCTTTAAAAAGTAGTAGCGGACCTAATCATTTAGCTGGTGTGAATTATTGATAAATTAAGATTCTTGTCATCTCCCATTAGATATGACCCAAATAACGTTTTAAGTTTCATAAAGCAATAGGTACCGGTCATCAATTTATCTCGAATGAACACTTGTATTGAACACCTGCTTGTATTTGAATGCAATATATGCGGGTTTACTTCTGTACTCTGGCAATACTTACTCTGCCCCATTCGCCGACGGTCCACTCTGAGCAGACATGTTCATTACACGTGGAGGTGTCGCGAGGTCTCAGCCTCATGGGGCAGTCTGAGGGGCGGCGCCCACCGCAGACAACTAGACGTCGCCTCACTCCCCCACCACACTCAGCGGAACACTTCAGCAAAAAAGCAAAGGGGGTAAGTTATAGAAAGCTTAATGATCTTTCACATTCACATTTTTCATTTGGACAACATATACAATTTATGAATTTTCTTCCTAGTTAAATCTTAGGAAATCAGTTAGCTTCATATAAGCTATGAAATACTTACACGTCCCCAGTCCCCAATTTGCCACTCGGATGGTGCATTGAGGATATTGTCTACAGATTCCTTTAAAGAAAGCCCGTTCGAATCTTCGTCCACAGAGTTCTCTCTCGGATTGGTGACAGAGATTTTTTTTAAATTTAAATGATTTCTTGCCACTGCACGATTATCTGCAAGATTGGGCACCGGATGTCTTGCAGGGCTGGTGTATCGTTCGCTATAGTCACCAATTCGACGCACCAGAATCTCGTTCGTCTCTTCTGTAGGTGGTTCACGAGGCAAACTTAACAAATTAGCCTCGACCTTCTTACGCCCAGCTTCAACCCGTTGAAATTCTTCCCAGGGGCTCTCTCGTGTCAGGTTGCGCCGCTATGATAAAACAAATTATTACCATCAGAAAAAGTGTTATGTTTTTACTCACTGTTTTCGTTTATAACCAAGCAAGTTAAAGGTTTATAACCAATTGACGAATAAATGGAATATTCCTCCACTAGGCTAGTCATATTGAGGAATATAATTCGAAACTATATTAATCGAAATTAGTAAATACAAACACGTCCGAGACTATAGCTTAATTTAATATGTTCTGAATAAACTCACTGCTGAATGATAATTTTCTTCTGAATGCAGCATTTCTTCGTCGTACTCAGGACCAGTTAGTGGAACAGGGGTGGTGGAAGTGGTCGTAGTTGTGGTGGTGGTGGTAGTGGTGGAAGTAGAGGTAGGGCATGGGATATGGCAAGGCGCTGTAGCGGGAGGCTTGGCAGCAGCATCGCACTTGTGTTCGGGCTCCGGCATATTCGGATTGCCACAAACAACGACTCTGCGTCGCACACCGCGACCGCAGCGTCCGTCTAGACTCCGTAGCAAGACGGGCTCACCGGCGACGTCCGTGTCAAGATCCGCATCGGTGAGTCCAAAGTTCGAGACATGGGAATCCAGAGAAGAAGGATTCATTGGATGCCGGGGACCGCTGTAACGGGTGATGGAGATCACCTCTTCCAGCTGTCTCAGCTCCAACTGGGTTGATGTGTCTTCATTGACGGCGCACTGCGAGAGCAAAGATTAGTTTGTTAACTCAAGATCAAAACGAAACTCTGAGTTATATTTCATCCATCGAAGGCAACAGCTCAAGTTAAAGAATTAATTGAATCTGGAATTTATCGTGAAAATTATGGAAACCTTAGACTGCGGGGAAAAACAGTGAGACCACAAGATAAATTCATTCTCATCGTGAAAAAATCGTCATGTTAGAATTTTCATGGCTTCCTATTTTTATTTGATATGAGAGGCACTTTGATGACAGCACCAGAACCGTACCCAGTGATCCCAAGGTTGAGCGTGCCAGCAGGAACAATTCCTCATATACTCTGGCTTGTGCAGACGCACGCAGTTCCAGGCTTGTATTGGCCGGTTCTTCAGCTCACACCAATACAGCCTTTGCTGACTCCCTTCCGTCGCCGCCGGTAAGCAGGAACACTAACGAAAAATTAGAAAAATTATGCCACGACTTTTAATTTTATTTTCATGCATATTGATTCAATATTTTAGCAACCTGAATCTTCATTATTACTTTGACTTCGATTGTAATGCATGAATGTGAAATGAAAACGGCAAGGTATCATCAATATATTCATATTATTTCCGAGACTCATTGACAAGTACGAAATGAAAGTGAAAATACGTTCAAAAAATTCATCAACTTACAAAATACTCTAGATCAACACAAAAATTCAGCTAGCTTCGGTTGAGTCTATGTAGCACGTGTGTCCTAAGTTTCAAGTCTGTATCAGAAAGCGCTTACATTGACTTCTCAAACAATGGGCACTAAATAAGTTCTGCGATGCTGCAAGCACATTTAGATCCACGGGCTAAATTCTCGATGACCCACCCACATTCCTCCATTGGAATCGCCCTTATTGCTGCTATGATCGCTGTCTTCATATCAATGATAATATTGGGGTTGTTGAAATTCACTCAATCCTCAAGGTAATTCCAAATGAAATAAATCTGGAGCGTTCAAGTCCGGAAATTGAGGCGGCCACTCCGAGTCGCACCTGCGGCTGATCAGTCGTTGAAGAAATAATGCGTAGCCACGCCAATGATTGCCGATGACGATAATTAATGAGAGTTGAGGACCTCCAGTTTTTCTAGCAGGAACCTGCTTTACACCTCACGAACGAATCTTTTGCTGGGCTAAAACACAGTTTCCATGAACGACTAATGAGCCTCAGAAGTTATGTGGAGTGGCCGCCGCATTCACTGGACTTGAACGCTCCAGACTTTTAACTCTGGAAGATACCTTGAAGATAGATTGAATATCGACAACCCCCACGATTATCCCTTATATGACGGCAGCAATAAGAGCAATATCATGGGTAGAGTGTAGAGGCACGGGGAACTTTGTCCGCCGGAATGAAATGTGCTTGCATGAGTTGCCTGATACATTGACCTGAATTAATTGAGATGGATTTTTATTATTCAAAAGAATTTTTTCCAAATAGTAAACTTTTAAAGATGAACGTTTTTGGTGTCGTCCGATATTCTTCCATGCTCAGCGATGTTCAAGTTTACTAATTGAATAACGGACCTCCCGTTTTTTGCACGAGCCTCCAGTTTTTTTGGACGCTTAACACGCAAAAAAATTCGCATTTCTGGTATCCACTTATTCTTCTGACACATGGAAGTGTTCGTAAAAACCAACTGCAGAAGGAAGTGGTCCTCCATTTTGAAAAGCAGGTGAAAACATTTATCAAAGAGACGAGTATTTTTAGTGTGCGAGGACATTTAGTGCAACGCTACTCACAGGTGCCCAGTCGTGGTACTGCCACTTGGGGCACTCGTCAGGATGGCAGTTTTGGAGCGTGACGGGCGGACTGTCGGCGCGGCATCGCTCGTGCTCCACCTCGTCGCCGGCACTCGTCACGCAGCCTGCCACCGCTCGCGTCTTGCCGCACTCGCCGTCCTCTAATATCTTGCACTGAATGCAACATGTTCAACATTATGTTTTCAATGCTTGTAACTGCATATACGGGTTTTCAATGCTTGTAACTGCAAATAAGCGTAATTTAAAAAGTTCATAATCATCTCAAATTCGCACAAGATAAAAAAATACCTAATTTTTTAGACTTAGAACTGTAAATTTGTACTGTAAATCGCACTAAATAAGTAAGTAAAACCAAGGAAGAATTTTAGAAAAGTTTTTAGAAAAGTTTGCAAGGTTTCAATCATTACCATGTTTATTAACTAACGAACGGGTCTCCAAGGAATAGACGTCAAAATAACGCTTAGTCATCGTTATTTCACCGTCAGATGACTGGTGGGGGAATACGTACAGGCGACCAGGTCCTATAGCGCCAGGTTACAGGGCAGGATATTGCGCAGGACTCGAGGAGGGACGCTGGGCGGGAGTGCGCGTCGCACAAATGGTCGGCCACGCGGTGGCCTGCTGCGTTCCTTACGCAGTACGCGCTGCGCTCCCGCGTGCCTGCGTCATTATCATACTGATTATTATTATTTCGTTATCATTATGATTATTATTATTTCGTTAACATAATGATCATTATCATTTCGTTAACATAATGATCATTATCATTAACATATTGAGAATTTTCATTTTACATATTTATAATTATAATTAACACAATCATAATTTATCTACGATGTTCGAGGTCTTGGTATAATTTTAGGATGATAATATACAAGTTGCTCGAATACTTTTTCGGGAAAACAGCAAGCTTTGCATGAAAACGAAATAAACTCGCATTATGAATGCCGGGCACATGAGCGCCTTCGCGATTATTCGTAATGAGAAAAAAATATCTCTTATTCAGAAATAAACCTCATTAAAAGGTTAAAGGAGATAAAGAATACCTGCACAAGAGCGTCAATTTAGACATAATCTTACTGAACCGCCATGTTAAGACAAAGTAGCCAGAATACAGTAGTAATCATCGGAGCTCGGTCGTCTCGTTTGGAGGCGTGATTGTGAAGTCAAATCAACTTCTGCATGTATACTTTATTATGTTAGAAGGGCTTAAACCATTTATTATTAATATTTTTAAAATTTTAATGCGTTTCTTTGGTATCAATAGTATTCAGAACGTTTTCAAGCTCAGTTCCACAAACTGCGAACCTTATCTCAGCAAAACGGTTGCTTATCTTTTAGTCACATACGTGATGTCCGGGTGTAAAAATAAAATGAAACAATTCACCTGATCTGAAATAAATGTAAATATGACTCATTGTTTAAAATTTTTAGGTTAATATGTGATTTCTTACCTATGCAAGGCTGGGTGCAGTTAGTCCAGTCACCGAGGCGCCACAGGTAAGTAGGCTCAGACAAATGGTCGCTCTTGGTGTAGCTGTAACGAACATACGGTGGATGCAACTTCCCAACCGACAATATCTGCAAAGAGCAGCTGGTTAAGGGGGACATGATCCGTTCAATATTAAGTGACGATTCAAATTTTATACCGCCATTCCTCACTAGTCCTTGCACACATTCACATACACGACAAAATTATCCCGCCATCCACCACTAGTCTTGTGCACATTCACAAGCAATAAACTTAATGTGTGTCCAAGAAACACAAATATCCACAATTCAGTCTACCATTTTTTGTCGCGTCAGTTGACACATAACGTAAGACTATGTTGAACGCAAGGTCTTGCTATATTGTTATCCAAAAAGTTTACTAAATTAATTAGCAGGCACGTATGTAGATAATTTATTCGCATTTAACAGAATAATTCATTGCTTTACCACTTTTCCTCTAGAAGAAATAATGTTCTTAATTGCAATGCATTACAGCATCAGTAAAAAATGAATATGTCAATATTTTTAACGCATTTTTGTAATAAAATAACTGCAGCGTTGAACATTAAAGGAAATTTTTTCATTTGCACTCACACAGATTCTGCAAGAAATGAAAATAAGATAATAATAAATTAATACGCAAAGACTAC